ATAATTAAATAAATAAAAATTTTAAAGAGATGATTTAAAGTATACGGAAGATACATGTAACTTACATGCAAATACTATACCATTTTATATAAGAGACTGGAGCTTCTGAAAATTGTGGTATCCACTAGGGGTTCTGGAACCAATCCCCCACATATCAAGGGGCGACTGTAATTACTTAACAAAAAAAAATCTTGAAAGTATGTATTTGTCACCAGCCCATGGGGAACACTATTCTTGAATTAAGTAGCACTGAACACCTTTAAATACCTGATGGAAGCCTTAAACTCAGCAGCAATTTCCTGAAAACATGCCAACATATATTAATTATTCTCGGCCTAAAAGTCTGACAAATTACTTTCAAATACAGATGAAGACAAAAGAAAATGGTTTTAAACTGCAACAAGAAAAATGTACAAGTTGACCTGAAGTTTGAAACACTTGACTACATTGGTATACTGTTAATCAAAACTTATCCGCAAAACAGACTTGCAAAAGAAATTATAAACAGGGTAGTGAATTTCAAAGTAATTTATAACAGACTAAGGTCAAGCTACATTAGCAAAGTTGGGAGGTAGCACTTAAGAAAAAACTCTGGGCCAGGCACAGTGGCTCACACCTGTAATCCCAGCACTTTGGGAAGGCCAAGACAGGCAGATTACCTGAGGTCAGGAGTTCAAGACCAGCCCTGGCCAACATTGTGAAACCTCATTTCTACTAAAAATAACAAAAAAAGTAGCTGGGCATGGTGGTACGCGCCTGTAGATCCAGCTACTGGGGAGGCTGAGGCACAAGAACTGCTTGAATCCAAGCAGTGGAGGTTGCAGTGAGCTGAGATCACACCACTGCACTCTAGCCTGGGTGACAGAGTGAGACTCCCTATCAATTAAAAAGAAAAAAAAAAAGAAAGAAAAAACTGTGGAAAAGTTATATGGCTCTACCATGTACCATTTGGACACCTCTGGAGGAGAGGAACTTGTTCAATTTTAACAGTATAAACTTTATTGTTTAAGTAGATAATATTTAGGCCAGGCACGGTGGCTTAAGCCTGTAATCCCAGCACTTCAGGAAGCTGAGCCGGTGGATCACCTAAGGTCAGGAGTTTGAGACCAGCCTGGCCAACATGGTGAAACCCCGTTTCTATCAAAAATACAAAAATTAGTCAGGCCTCGTGGCACACGCGTGTGGTGCCAGCTACGTGGGAGAATCACTTGAACTGAGGAGGCAGAGGTCGCAGGGAGGCAAGGTTGTGCCACTGCACTCCAGCCTGGGCAACAGACTGTGACTCTGTCTCAAAGAAAAAAAAAAAGACTATCAACTAGGAAATATTTAGGTACAGCAGTACTAACAACACTGAGATGGACTAATTTACATAATCCCAAGACTTTGGTTCCATTTTTTTTTTTTTAGGGTGTTGCTCTGCATAATTGTAGCTCACTGTAGCCTCAAACTCCTGGGCTCAAGGGATCCTCCCACCTCACCCTTCCAAGTAGCTGGGACTACAGGTATATGCCACCATGCCCAGCTAACTTTTTATTTATTTATTTTTTTGTAGAGACAGGGTCTCACTATGGTGTCCAGGCTGGTCTCCAACTCTTGGCCTCAAGTGAACCTCCCAAAGTGCTGGGATTACAGGTATAAGCCACTGTGCGCAGCTGCTTCCAAAGATTTTCTTGAGTGGCCAAAACCCCAGATAATCCACAAAAGAGCATGAAAAGTATTTTAAGGGACAGTGGAAGGGGAGAAACTATTACCTAATATTCTCAGCAACTTTCCCTGCCCTACCTGACAAGCGAATGATATTGAGAGGTAACTAACTGAACAGACTTTTCTCTCTCCTTCTATCCAGTCACCCACTATCCTGCAAATACGCAGCAGCTTTGAAGGACTTAATCAATGACCTTAAAATCTATACCATGTCTACAGTTCCAGGAAGCATATAAGCAAACTACTGCTATAGAATTTGGATTTCCTTTAATGATAAAAATGCAAATGACTCACATTTGGTCATCTACTCCAACACAGCACATTCTAAAGAACAGAAGTTCCAATCCTCCTTGTGTGTCTTCACACACAAACAACTAATTATGGATTATATTACTGCTACAGATTTCTGTTTCTCATTGAAGGCATATGAAGTTTTTAAAAAGAATAAAAAAATCAGAAAGGAAATGTTTCAAGTCTATTTTGAGGTAAAGCAATCAATTTACCATTTATTTTCTTCAGACTTACATATGAAAGCCCACACACATGCATACACACAAGATCCCCAAAATGTTGGTAACTGTTGAAGCTGCACAATGGATACCTAAGTTCATTATACTATTCTATTTTTGCATACATTTGAACATTTCCATAACATGCAGTTTTTTAAAATATGTATGTGTGTGTCTATAGATGTTTATACGTAAACTCTCAATAAACTGACATAGAAATATCCAATTGTTCAAAGTTTTCATGCTCCAAAACTAAATGAATATTTTTTTTTTTTTTTTGAGACGGTCTCTCACTCTGCCACCCAGGCTGGAGTGCAGTGGCACAATCTCGGCTCACAGCAACCTCCACCTCCTGGGTTCAAGCAAGCGTGTCCAGCTAATTTTTTTGTATTCTTAGTAGAGATGGAGTTTCACCATGTTAGCCAGGCCAGTCTCGAACTCCTAACCTCAAGTGATGTGTCCACCTTGGCTTCCTGCAGCGCTGGGATTACAGGAGTTGCACGCCCAGCCAGAATTTCATCTAGCTACTTTTTATTCTACAAGTTGTACTGCAGGTGACCAGACCATTAGTGAAGGTCTAGTGAAAGAAATAATTAACTGCCCCAGAATAAAACAAGCCTAACCTTGAAAAGAGGCAAACGAAAAGGTGCTAAACAGTTATTACAATTACTGCACGTTTATATTTGGTCCTGTTATCCTCTAACACAGGTGGGTAGGTAGAAAAGGGGGAAGTATTTTAGGGCCAGATTTCCTTTTGATTTTTTAAGTTGATGGGCAAGAGAGTCTGGAATAAAGAAATCTAAAAAGTCTCCATTATAAATTATAACCAAGAGAGGCACAATGGCGCATGCCAGTAGTGCCAGCTACTTAGGAGACAGAGTGGGGAGAATCACCTGAACCCAGGAATTCAAGACTAGCCTAGGCAACATAGTGAGACCTCATCTCTAAATAAATAAATAAGTTAATGAATTAATTAAAGGTAGAATTGTATAATATATGAATTATACCTCATTTTAAAAACAATTTAAGCCATATACAGTGATGCATGCCTATAGTCACAGCTACTTAGAAGGCTGAGGCAGGAGAATAGGTTGAACCTAGGAGTTTGAGAACAACCTGGGCAACACACAGAGGCCTCATCCCCCTCCCACCCCCGCCCAAAAAAAGCATTCATAGCTCATCTTAGTGTAATCAGCAATTTTCAATGACTATGCTTTACTGCTAGATATGAATTTATAAAACACACAAAGATTATACTGTATCTGCTTCAATTCCTTTTTTCATATTGCCATTCAATTTTCACAAGATTACTTTAAATGTAATCCTAAATTCATCCCCAATTTAACTTTTGTTAGTCACATCTAAAAATAAAACTAGTCAAAATTAAAAATACTAACTTTACAGCAAATTAATCTTGCATCAGTACTACAAACAAAAATTTTTAAACTTATTGTAGCAAAACATAACTTTGACTGAATCAAAGACATTAATTCTCAAGTCAAAAAAAGGTCACAAGAACTTACTTAAAGTGGTAAAGGGAAACGCAGACTTAGGCACACATGCCAAGAAAAAAAAAAAAAATAGAGATAACTCCTCCGCTAGAACCTCCCCTCAATACTTTCACAGCAACAATTATTTCCTTAGCACAAAAGTGATGTGTTCACTTCCACAAAACCTGGATCATCTAAGTTTGCACAATTCCCTTCAATCTGAAAAACAGATGAAATTGTTTCATTTAGGTTAGTAGAATTTTGTGTCCCTATACATGAAAAAAGTCACCATCAGTGTGAGTAAAGCACATGGCTCCAGCTTCAAGGTCTTGTTCCCCAACCCACTGAAAAGAGTATATGCTTATAAAATATTCATCGACTTACCAGGTTAAAGACAGTTTCTACAATGTCCCTATTGGATACTTCTCCAACTTCAACCAAACCGGTCAACACGGCAAATTTCATTCTGATGCCCCTGATGGGGAGCCCTGGTTTCAGAGACAATGCACCCCCTTCAGTAGGGGTTTCTTCTCTCCCTCCACCTCCCCCGTCATCACCTGTTGGTGGCGGGGAAGGGACACGATTGTCTTCGCTAGCCATTGCTAGCAAAAAGGACAACTCAGAGTCACCCTTGGACAGCAGTCGCTGCACTGGCAATGAGCACAACACACGCAATGCAAAACGAAAGGGTCTCTCTTCCAACTTGTGGAGAAACCCCAAAGCAGTTGATGTGGAAAGTCCTTGGCGTCGCCCTCCTCCTTTTGGAGAATATTTGTCCAATCTCTCTCCCCGAGGCTGACAACAACGCCAAACCCTATTGGAAGATTAAATATATGTTAAATAGGCTAGGTTTTGTTTTAGGGTTTTGAGGGGACAAGAGGGAAATAGTTATTGTCGGTCAAATAAGTTACTAAAGGCACCCCACTACTAGCCACCCGCTTCTCCCCGGCTCAAAGAGCTGGGTTCTGGGTGAAGGCAGGTCCAAGAGGCCCCGCACAGGCTCACTCCTCCCCCACTCTCGTGCAGGTTCTAGGCGCAGGGTAACCTCTCCTCACAGGTGCACCAGAAAGAGAAACTGTCGCGGAGAAAGGAGGGATCGGAGGAAAGAAGGGAGCCCACAAGCTATCACAGAGGTAGAAAGTTCCTCCTCACCCAGATACTCCGGACTCGTCCTTACCCCCCGCCCAGGAGCAGCGAGACGGAGGTGGCGGCGGAGATCCAGGGCAGGAAAAGGCGGGGGAAGGGGGCGGTGATTATTCTAAATGCTCGGCCCAGTGGGAGGAGTGAAGTACCTCTCTCAGGCACCTGAGATTCGACGGGAAGAGGCGGGGAGGTGTGTGTGGTGGCAGGAAGGGAGGGGAGCGGCCAGAGAAACCCGGCGGCGACCGCAGGGAGAGAAAGGAGGACAGAGAGGTCAGTGCACCTGGTCGCAGCCTCCAAGTTTCCCTAGTCCGCTCCCCGGGAGTCCGCGGCTGCACAGAACTCCATGGCTTCCTGGCCCGCCCCGCCCCTGCGCTCAGCCTTTGCAAAAGCAGCCGCTGCTGGCGCTACGGACGCCGCGGCTGAGGCTGCTGCGAGTGGTGAGGATGCTACTGCCACAGCTAGCCCCGCCACAGCTCGCGCGGCTTTCCTGTGCCCACTGAAGCTGCTCCCGGCCGCCATGACAGCGCCGAGGGCTGCCGGGCGCCGCGTGCGCGTGCGCGAGCGCGCGGGGCGGGAGGGCGCGAAGGCGGAGGCAGCCGCGCGGCGGGGGCGCGGTGAGGGCGCGCGGACGGCCTAGGGGGCCCAGAGCCAGCGGGAGCGCTGGGCTCGGGCTTCCGGCTGCACTAGGCGCGAGGGCGCGCACCCAGTGGGAGTGCTGCTCTAGTAGCACACGGTGTGTTCGCGGCCCGGCTAGGAGAGACCCTTCCGTTCGAGGGCCTATACTTCCCCCCCTCCCACTCTCGGACCTCGGAAGGTGCTTCTGCAAGTCCTGAGACGGGGATTCTGGCGCTCCTGCTGTTGTTAAGTTACCGTTGGGTCCCTTGGCGCGGAGGGAACCCGCCCCGCGTTGCCAAGGTGTGTCATTGTACTTGGAGAAGAACACCTGAGGGACCTCTACGAGCCAGAGAGGTGACGGCGCTGGAGCCAGTGAGGCTGCTGTCCCTGCCCAATGGGAGCGAGGAGTCCCCACCCCTGGCTGCTTTCAGCTGCTGCCCGCCCGCCGTTCTCGGCGGAGACTCGGAGATTTCCACTGGGATGTCTCGGCAGCTGCCACCATTCGGGAAGGGAGGGGAGGGGACCGAGTCGACGAGGAACGGGAAAGATTCCTTGCTTTGCAGCTGCCGCCCCACCAAACCTCTCCTACGTTCATTCTAGGGAGAAGATTCCTGAGACAGCTGCTACAAACGGCGTGGAGACAGGGTTCATTGTGCCTGTAGATCTCCGAAGGGTTTTTCTCCTCTCGTGATTTTCCAATGTGAAGATTACGCTCGCGTCATTCTCAGAGTAGATCAAAAGATATATTAAGTAGTACAGATAGCTCTTCATACTCAGTGTCCCTTCTTTCCACCCGCTATTAACAGTAAAGCATTCTTCCTAATGAGTGAAAAATAAATTTAGAGGAAGCTGGTTTTTCACCCACGTGTATCCTTTGAGGTCAAAGGGCCTTTTTAAAAATACTCCTAGCTCCTGAAATGAAAGTGAAGTAAAAAGTGGGATTAAACAAAGGAAGAATTCCGGAAAAGTTAGGAAAAAATTGTAGTGGTTTGAGAAAGTTGCCTGAAGAAAAAGTTATTTGAGATGGCCTTGAAAAGTGGACAGAAGACAGGCGCGGTGACTCACGCTTGCAATCCCAGCACTTCGGGAGGCCGAGGCAGGTGGATCACCTGAGGTCAGGAGTTAAAGACCAGCCTGGCCAATATGGTGAAAACCCCCTTCTCTACTAAAAATACAAACATTAGCCGGACGTGGTGGTGCATGCTTGTAGTCCCAGCTACTCGGGAGGCTGAGGCAGGAGAATTGCCACTGCACTCCATTCTGGGTGACAGAGCAAGAGCGAGATTCTGTCTCAAAAAAAAAAGACAATTTTAGCTCTCACATGGAAATTTGGGAAGAAAAAGGTAACAGACACAAGAAGCAAGGGAGGGCTGGGTGCAGTAGCTCACACCTGTCATCCCAACACTTTAGGAGGCTAGTGCAGGAGGATTACTTGAGACTAGCCTGGACAACAGCAAGACCCGTCCTGTTTTTTCTTTTTTTTTTTTTGTTTTTTTTAAACGGAGTTTCCGTCTTGTTGCCGGGCTGGAGTGCAGTGGCGCAATCTCGGCTCACCTCAACCTCTGCCTCCCGGGTTGCAGCGATTCTCCTGCCTCAGCCTCCCTAGTAGCTGGGATTACGGGCATGTGCCACCAGGCCCGGCTAATTTTTGTATTTTTGGTAGAGACGGGGTTTCACCATGTTGGCCAGGCTGGTCTCAAACTCCTGACCTTAAGTGATCTGCCTGCCTCAGCCTCCCAAAGTGCTAGGATTATAGGTGTGAGCCACTATGCCCGCCCAAGGTCTCTATTTAAAAAAGAAGCAGAAGAAGAAAAGGCAAGGGGACATTTTCTTTAGAAAAGTGTTACACCTTTTAAAAATACTAAGATGAATTCAGCTGCACCAAATCTCATGTGGTTGCAAATGTTTGTTAAAGATTTGTTTTCTATAAGTAGACTTAGATATTCCAGAGATGAGGCAGACATCTTTCTGACGATCCGAATTGCCGATATACATTTCCAAAGTAAAAGGCAACATCAGTGGCTTCCCATTTCTGAAATCTCTGAAAAACTAAACACCTCAAGTTTGTTTCACATCATTAAATGAGTAAGTCTGGAATAAGGGGGAATAGGGTGTGCCTGCAGAAGAGACACAACTTTCACTTGACCTTTCATACATCTGTGTTTTGAAAGTGAGGCATTAATCCATAAAAGGCCTCTCATAGGATTTTGTCTCCTCAGATGGGGCAAATGATATGTTAATATATCTGTCATATAAGTGCTAATTAAGTATTTGTTAAATGAATAAATATCTTCCATTAAGAAGCAGATGATAGCCGGGCGCGGTGGCTCACGCCTGTAATCCCAGCACTTTGGGAGGCTGAGACAGGCGGATCGCGAGGTCAGGAGATCGAGACCATCCTGGCGAACACGGTGAAACCCCGTCTCTACTAAAAATACAAAAAATTAGCCGGGCGCGGTGGCGGGCACCTGTAGTCCAGCTACTCAGGAGGCTGAGGCAAGAGAATGGCTGAACCTGGGAGGCGGAGCTTGCAGTGAGCAGAGATTGAGCCACTGCACTCCAGCCTGGGGCACAGAGCGTGACTCTGTCTCAAAAAAAAAAAAAAAAAGAAGCAGATGATAATAATGAAAATGCCCCCAACACAGAGTGATCACAGTCTAAATGATACGGGGCTAAGGTTTGTAGCTTATGAGTTTGCAAGCTCACTGTTAATGCTGTTTTGCTGATGAAACAATGAACACAGACAATTAACCAAATATTTCTAAATGCCAGATACAGTGGCTCCTGCCTGTAATCCCAGCACTTTGGGAGGCTGAGGCAGGCAGATCACCTGAGGTCACGAGTTTGAGACAGCCTGGCCAACATGGTGAAACCCCATCTCTACAAATACAAAATTAGCCAGGTGTGGTGGTGGGTGCCTGTAATCCCAGCTCCTTGGAGGCTGAGGCAGAAGAATCGCTTGAACCCAGGAGGCAGAGGTTGCAGTGAGCCAAGACCATGCCTTTGCACTCCAGCCTGGGCAATAAGAGTGGAAACTCCATCTAAAAAATATATACATACATATGTGTGTGTGTATATATATACACACACACACAAATTGTCAACTATTCATAAAAATTTTTTCAACCTCTTTGCCCATGGTTAAAACAAAATAGTTGGCAAAAATTGGAGTTTCACTGCAGAAAGAAGCATAGAGAAGGTAGAAGGGGGAACTGTTCACTTCTAGGCAAGCCAGCTAAAATGCAATCACTAGGCCTAGATGCGGTGGCTCACACCTGTAATCCCAGCACTTTGGGAGGCAGAGGCAGGTGGATCACCTGCGATTGGGCATTCAAGACCAGCCTGACCAATCTCTACTAAAAATACAAAATTAGGTGGCGCATGTCTGTAATCCCAGCTACTCGGGAGGCTGAGGCAGGAGAATCGCTTGAACCCGGGAGGTGGAGGTTGTGGTGAGCCGAGATTGGCCACTCCAGCCTGGGCAACAAGAGCATAACTGTCTCAAAAAAATAAATAAAATGCAATCACTGTGGACTATTATTTAGGTGTACAACATAGAATCTTGGAATGCTTCCAGATGAACTATCTGCCTATCAAATCTTAAGCTCCTTTATAGCACAATACTTTGCACATTATAGGTATTCATATTATTTGGATTGAGTCGAAACTCTAAAGTTACTTGCTTTAATTTTTCTCACCTGAAAGCCCTTGTCTGGGTCTACATAGCTATTAGCAGTGAGAGGGAGGAAAATCCTGTTAAAAATGGGTATCTTGGCCAGGCACAGTGGCTCATGCCTGTAATCCAAGCACTTTGGGAGGCCAAGAGGGGAGGACTGCTTGAGACTAGCCTGGCTATCATAGCAAGACCTCATCTTTACAAAAAGTTTCAAAAATTAGCCAGGCATTGTGGAACACACCTGTAGTCCCAGCTACTGGGGAGGCTGATGTGGGAGGATCACTTGAGCCGAGGAGTTCGAGGCTGCAGTGAGCTGTCATGGTGCCACTGCACTGCAGCCTGGGTGACCAAGCAAGACCCCATACCAAAAAAAAGTAGGGGGAGGCCAGACGAGGTGGTGGCTCATGCCTGTAATCCTAGCACTCTGGGAGGCCAAGGTGGGCAGATTGCTTGAGCTCAGGAGTTCAAGACCAGCTTGGGCAACATGGTGAAAACCCGTCTCTACAAAAAATACAAAAATTAGCCATATGTGGTGCTGCGTGCCTGTGGTCCCAGCTATTTGGGGGTCTGAGGTGGGAGGATCACTTGAGTCCAGGAGGTAGAGGCTGCGGTACGTCAAGATCACATCACTGCACTCCAGCCTGGGTGACAGAGCAAGACCTTGTCTCAAAGAAAAGGGGTTGCGGGGGAGGTATCTTAATATGGAAAGCAGTTTTACAATTTGTTTATATCTTCAGCACTATTAATGGAAGTTTTCTAGTCAAAAGCCTTCATATGAACTATCAGCAGATGAATTTATAGGACTATCCTACCTGTATCCCTGTACCGTAACCCCCGCCCCCACAAAAAAAAAGGAAGAAAAAAATACCGCCTATAAAGCCAGGCTCAAGTTTTCCATCACCATCTAATTTGTATATCACTCTAACAGTATCTTGACACAATTAAAGACTAAAAGTTTTCATAATGTTCCTTGTCTTCAACATACACTGACATCTTTCAGAAAAAAAGAAATACATAGTGGATTCAGAACAGGAAACCTTCTGCATAACTCAGAGTAACTCAAGCAAAGAGAAAGTAATTTCATACTGAAATCAAGAAGATTATTGATCTGTAAACCCTTACCTATATGCAAAGAAAAAACATTTTCAGAACAAAGATGGGATGGAATTTTCTTTCTACTGGAAAATCACCCAATCCACCCAATTGTAACTTTCCTAGGGTATAGATTAAATGATAACTTAGGGGAAAAGCACCACCTACATGATTTGCTGTATACCTGTTTGTGTATCCCTGGACTTGGAGTTTCTTAAATTATTAAGCATAGTTTATGATATCTTAGGCTGGAAATGCATGGCAATGGTTTTTTACTCCTTCCTATGAGAAAGTCAAACATTGCTTTTACTATTCATTAAATCTTACTAATGTTAAATAAGACTTCAAATGTTAGTAGCCTTTATTAATGACATTTTCATGGGGCATTCAACACTGGGAACAATTATAATTTAAAGGAAAAATACATTACCTATTTATAGTTAGAAACTCAAAGTTTAACATTAAAAGTTTATGTGGCTGGGCACGGTGGCTCACTCCTGCAATCCCAGCACTTTGGGAGGCCAAGGCAGGCGGATCACCTTGCAGCGTCACTGCCGAGTCTCAACGACCAGCCTGGCCAACATCAGCTCGAAACCCCATCTCTTCTAAAATCAAAAAAAAAAAAATACGCTGGTCCATGCGCGCGCACTCCTGTAACTCCAGCTACTCGCCACGGCTGAGGCAGGAGCGATCACCCTTTGAACCTGGGCGGCAGAGGCGCTCTCGCACTGAGCCCACAATGGTGCCAACTGCACCTCCATCCTGGTGACCGAATGCAAATGTGGTTACAACAAAAAACAAAAGAAAACATCTTATGTGCATATTCACGGTCAAAATGCCATCCACATCAACTCTACTATATCTTGTACTCCTTTCTTGTGTGAGAGTCTCACTCTGTACCAGTCTGCGACGTGCAATGGTGCCCATCCTTGGATCACTGCACCTCCGCCTCCAGGTTCAAGCAATTCTCCTGCCTCAGCCCCTCCAGCAGCTAGCTAGGATTACAGGCATCTACACCATACGACGCTACCCCAATTTTGTATCTTTCAATACGCAGACGGCGGCTTTCACCATCTGCTGCTAGCGCTGTCT